AATTGGAAGGCTGCGCGGGTGTATCGGGCATGGCAGAGTTGGAGGCGCATCCTACTGCAGGGCCGTAGCTGAAGATGGACGGGAACTCTGTGGGTTTGGTGAAGGGGCTCGGCGACGCATTTGTGTAGGTTGTGTAGACATAGTTGTATGTCGTCGTCGGTGTCGTGGTGATTGTAGACGTCATCCTGAACAGTTGTTGCTGCATGTGCGTGATGCGAATTGTATGTTGGTAGGTAGGCAGGTAGTAAGTGACGAGTAGCTAGCTAGCTGGAAAGAGAGGCTGAAGGAGGTTGAGCACCACCACAAAAGCAAACAAGATAAACTTCAGCTAGAAAACAGCGCGCGAGCTGACGCGTCTGAGTAAAAGAGCTATGCCGTATCACAGGTGGAAGGAAGCGGTGTCTCGAACGTAGGGGCAAAGGATACGAGATGTGTGACGGAGTATACGAGTGTTAGGACAGATCTAGAAGGTGACTGCCTTTCTTAGTTTCTCAAAATAGTAAGCGAGATCGTCGACGCAGGTTTGCGAGGAAGTGTCGTTTTGAAAGCCGGAACGTAGAAAGCGAATCTGGGCATATATCTTGTAGCGTTCGCTGCACAGCAAACAATCAACTGGAGTGAATGATTGTGCATGGGGGTAAAGAGTCTTCGCCAGTAAAGTTCACGGCAGTTGCGGGGCGCCTCCAGGGCTGGCTTAGCGCGGCGGCGTCACATGCAGTCCTCCGCTAGCCTGCGGTTGGCCAAAATACCAGGCAATCTGGACTCGTCGCACGCCGAACAATAGTGGACCATGGAACATAAGAACGCGGCCACAAGGTAGGTCGAAGTCCAACTACGAAGAACAACCCAGACTGTATCGGCACCAGTGCATTTAGAGGATGAAAAGAAAAGCCATTTAGTTGCACACCTGGGCATCACATTATCAAAGAACATACGGTTTGTTTTGAACAGTTGAATTCTCATTTTGGTATCATAGCTGCCATGCAATATGGCACATTAACTTCCCACTAACACCCCTTTCGGGATCTCTACAACCCCATCTATGCCTTCTCATCAATAGAATGGTGGACACCGACAGTGCGGTCTCCGTGCACACTGCTCCTCCTCAAGGTCTCATCCTTGTCGTAGTCCTGGTCAAGCTGGTTCATCTCGTCCTCAGTCTCGTTGAGGTGGTGGAACAGAATCCAGATGAGGCAACCAGCGATAAACGAAGCAACGGCAAGACCAGCAAACATCCACTGGATCTTGGGGTCAACGACAAGCGGGTTGAGAGCCTCGGAGATGGCAGATCCGAAAGCGTTGGTGAGCAGGTACATGGACTGGACGAAGGACTTCATGCTAGGCGGGGCCTTGGTGTACGCGTACTCGAGTCCAGTGACGGAGGCGAAGATCTCAGAGAGACCAATGAGAATGTAGGCACCGGTTTGGGCGGCAACGTGGATGTTGTTACCCTGGTGAACGCCATCGACAAGATCAGCGTCGCAGGCTAGCGGGGTCATGTAGCAAGGACCAGAGTGGTAAATGTAGTATTGGATGACGCAAGCGTAAATCATGGCGAAGGATGCAATCCAGAAACCGGCGACAATACGGTTGATGGGAGGGAAGGCGATCTTGTGCTTGCGGAGTGTGGGCATGAGCCACTGGTCGACAATGGGCAGGAAAACGATAATAGCGATGGGATCGAAGTTCTGCATCAGATCGTTGGGAATGCCGTGAAGACGCATCTGACCGGCCTGGGTGACGAAGTTGTTGGAGAAGTTACCGTAGACGACCCAGTAGATGGGGTAGAAGCAGAAGACCTGGCAAGCAATAAGAGCACGCTTGACCTCATCGACAAAGTGGTCGTCCCAGTTGAGGACCTTGGTCTTTCCGAGGCCGGCCTGGTAAGATGGCTTAGCAGCATCCATGTTGCGGTTCTTGATCATCATCCAGATAATACGGAAGGCATCGGTAATGATGGATCCCTGAGGAGGTCGGACAACGTAGACCTTGCGGCCAAGGACGAGGACGAGCAGTCCAACGAAGAAGACGCAGAGGCAGAGCAGGTAGGCACTCCAGAAGTCGCGATCACGTTCCAGGTAGGGAGTAGCGAGCAGAGACAGAGATCCGGCGTTGATGCACCAGTAGAAGATCATGTAAATCCTCTGAATAGTGATCGCAGGGTCAATGATAACCTTCTCGCCAGTCTTGTCATCGGTGCCAATGACCATTTGTCTCCTCTTGTATTGATCGGCGATCAAAGGCGCGACGTTGGACTTGATACCTCCAGTTCCGAGACCGATGATGATAATGGCAACAATGTAACCAGCGAGACCGGCGCCGTGATCCAGAGCGGTAGGAATGGATGTGCAGGTGAGGACGATAAGACCGAGGATGTAAACGCAGCAGAAGATGACGATGGTGTTGTACTTTCCAAGGTACTGATCGGCAATGATGGCACCGAGAATGGGAGTAACATAGCACCAGAACTGGAAGAAGGTGGTGAGACCAGTGGCTCCCTGGTGACCCATACCGAGCGCACCGCGACCTTCCTCACCGCTGCGAGGACGCGAGATGTAGTTTTGGAAGATACCGGAAGCACCATAGTAGGTGAAACGTTCGCAAAGCTCGACAATGGCGACCAAGAAAGCGCTCTTGGGGAGAGGCTCTCCAACCTTGCGGAGCGTCTTCAACTCCTCGGCGGTGGGCCTGATGCCACCAATGCCATCCTCTTCTTGGACATAGGAAGCAGCATCGGAGTGGGAGCCAGCAGTGAGCGCAGCGTCCTTCTCGGTGGAAACATGCGCGCCGGCAACGTTGGAGTCGTTGATGGTGGCACCGTAGAGGTGAGGGTGCTTGTCAGCGACCTCTTGGCCGTGCTGGAGTGCCTCAGCGCTGTCAAACATGTCAGTAACCCGTATTAATCCCAGTGGACCCGAGTACCAAAGGGCCGACGGGGAAGCAGAACATACGCAGTAGTCTCGTGGGCGGTAGCCATGGTTTCAGATCTCAATTGCGACCAAAGATTCGGTCAATAGAGAGGCAACCCAGAGTGAGTGTGACCAGAGAGTGAGAGGGAGATCCGGTAACACCTGGAGTCATAACAGAAGAAAGACGACACCTCCATATTTAACCCACCCCCTCGTTGAGCACACGCGGTACCCACATGGCATTCACCTACCCAATGGCTCCGACGGTCGCCTCTGTCGCTCAAGGGCAGTGGACCAAGCACGCACAAGCACTCTCGCCAGGCCCGATGTAACGTCTTGATAGCCCTGGTTCTAACCAGATAAGCATGGTCGTCCGGCACAAAGCCTGTCGAAGCCTTCCCTTGGCAGCTTAGTCGCGCCACTGCCCGCTCGGCGTGCAGGTAACCGATTCGCCCCCAACCCGGAACACCTGCAAGCACCTGCCAAACACGGCGATGGCACGCGGTGATCTTACGTTGGTGTTTGTGACAGAGTAGTTGGTTACCACACCTCAATGTCGTGCCGGGCTGCCGGGCCCTCGCCTGGAAATACAGTCGTTGTGGTTCGCCAGCCCGCCTGTTCGCTTCGATGTAAGGCACACCCCGGCATGATCAATACTCGTATAAAAAACCGCAAACGCAAGTCTAGCTGCAGTCATGCTAACCGCTGTGCCGCCACAGAGATAGGAAGGCATCGGCAATCCTGCGACCAAAAAGATCCAATACATTCGATTACACAGCACCGACCGACCCATAATCTTTCCAATCTCCAGCCTTCCAGACACTCATCTGTCTGCAGAAAATTTGCGTGGCCGGCCCACTCCGATTTGCGGAAAGTAGTAATGGTTCTGCCATTCTCTCCGGTTTCAGGGACCAGGTCCGCCGAATCTAACGACCTCGGTTTCTTCTCTAAACGGTCCCGGGTACACACTAGCTCGGGCAACGCCGAGAGAGATAAGCTTCTGACCCGCCGTGGAGCTGTTCTCTCGTGCATGGTCATCTCGCCTAGACACGCTCGATTGGGGATTCCTGCCTCGACATGGCCAATGGGTCTGGGAGGATCTCCGCATCGCGCGCTTATTAGGTGCTTAGTGGGGAATTTAAGCGGTGGTTGGGTCTTGGATGTTGGTGTGGAATCAATGTCTGATAGCGGTGACCGAGGATCAGGCGAGTAACGGGCGTAAGACGATGATGATCTGGCAGCGTGATAACTGGACAGTCGCCATTGCCGTGTGTCTCGTTACTGTGAAAGCGCTGTGATGTGAAAGTGAAAGCACTGCATTGGAGGATGTTTCCTGAGATTCAATATGTCCATTCCGTCATCACACGCAATTTCCGTTACAAGCACGGCTGGGCTGCAGCGCCCAGACACGGAAGGCGCGGTCAAGCTTTGTTACCGACACACATCAATCTGTCAGCGGCGCAGTGGCGCGCCTGAACCTCGGGACGCCTACATGGCCCTTGGCTAAGCGCACCATCCCCGCGTTAATCCCGGGCTTTCCCTTGCCTATGCGATTGTTACTGCTTTCCGTGTGCCTGTCGTTGAGGCTTCCAGAAGGTCACATCTGCAGCAAGCATGGCGGTACGCCGGTACCCACGGCTCAACCCACAGATCTGGAAGCTGCTTATCCTTGTGCCCACATAAGCTCCATAGTATTAGCTTGGTACATGCTTGGAGTGCTTCGTGTCACAGGGCGCGAGTGGAGATGTTGCCCACTTGGGTATACTACCCACAGCATCAGCACGGAGCAAGTGAGACACGCGACCTGCCAGCTACTAATTTAGTTGCGTGGTTGGTGTAAACGGTGAGATAAGGCCCGGGGATACGAGTACGCATGTCACGTTTCGTGATATCTTTTAATTAGGTTTACCTCATCTACTCGTCCAATACACACAACGATGCAATCAAGCTTCATCCGACCCTCTACGCGCACCCAGCGATCGATGACAACCTCGCGCCTTAGCTTTTGGTACAAATATCCTCCCAGACAATAAAGAAAGTTGACACATAATGCGTCGGGTACTGTGAACAACAGAAGGAAACAATCGATGCTTATGATGATGGACCGTTGGGACCGGTAGTGTTAGGGTCACAACATTGCTTTCCTCCACCACAGCTGTCGGGGCACTCTAGAAGACAGGCGTCAGGGCCGCCCTTGACGCTGGGGTTCTTGCTCTTGCGACCACCATCTTCCGCGCCGCTTTCGTCTGAGCCATGTGCCGAGTGGTCGTGGCTAGCGTCGAGGCAGAACTCGGGCTGGATGGTCGAAGAGTGAATACCGTACTGGTGGAGGCATTCGCGGATTTGGCGCGCGAGATCCATGTAGCGTGCTGAGCCCTGACCCTTGAAGTCAAAGTCGACCTGGACGTGGAGGGATGCGATGAGCTTAGTGTCTGATAGTTGCCAGACGTGGAGGTGATGGCAGGAGACGATGCCTGTGAGGTCAGTAATGTCGTCGGTGATGTCGTCGATGGACAGGTTTTCCGGGACGGCTTGAAGAAGGATACGAGATGCAGCCTTGCACAGGGGTAGAGCAGACAGGAGGATGATGACGGTGATGAGCAGAGATACCGCGGGATCGGCATACATCCTCCAGGAGTAGTCGGTAAGCCAGATGAACAGGGCAGTGGCAATGACACCAATGTTGCCCAGGGCATCACCCAAGACGTGTAGGAAAACACCGCGCATGTTCAGATCGGCGTGAGAGTGACCATGTCCACCTCCGGATGCCTCCTTCTTGGGCTGGTTGTGCTTGTGGCCCTTGTGGTTGTCCTTCTGGCTAGTCTTGCCGTTTCCGTGAGCATGGTCGTGAGAGTGGTCGTGGGAGCCGTGGCTCTTAGGCTTAGATAGAAGCGAAGTCTGCTCGGTAGGCTCCTCGTCCTCGACGACATCGTTGTCCTCGTCATCTGCCTCATCATCGTGCGCGCGGGACGACTCGATGATGCTGTTCCTGAAGGAAGAGGGGTGTACGTAGATCTCGTCGATGGTCGCGTAGTTGCGTGAGTGCGATCGGCTGTGGCGCTTGTTCTTTGCGGTGGCTTTGGAGGGGCTTTGGGTAAGGTTCGACGGGAAGCCGACGCGGTTCTGGGGCAGCACATCGGCTATATTGCCGCGCTCGTCCGCAATGGCATGGTCATGCGCATCGATGCCGTGAGAGTGTCCCTCCTCAGCGTGCGAGTGTGCGTCGTTTCCGTGTGAATGACCGCCGTGGGAATGGCCGCCGTGACCGTGGTCGTGGAAGAGGAAGAGGCCGACAATGTTGGACAGGAGGCCGCAAGAACCGACGATGAGGATGATAACCGGGTGGGAAACGTCCTGAGGCTCGACGAAGCGCTGGATGGCCTCGAGGAAGATGGAGAGACACAGCGCGACAAGGAAGACGCCGTTGATGAGGGCGCCCAGGGTTTCCGCGCGTTGCCACTGCTCCAAGTTAGCATAGCCATTACATGCCAGACGCGAGGCTTCTTACTCCGTATGTGTATGTCTTCGAGTTGGTCTTTTGGCTAGCGACCTTGACGGCCCATAGTCCAACGAGGAGCGATATGACATCGTTCAACTGCGCGTGGTGTCAGCATCATCACTTGCGGCGAGGCCAGATATACGCACCATGTGGAACGAGTCGGCGACCAGCGCCAAAGAGTGCACCGTGTAACCCGCGATGAGCTCGACAAAGAAGAAAGCCGTGTCGATAGCCAGCAGGATCATGATGCGCGTCGATTTGGAGAGCCCCATGGTGGCGGTATCGGAGCGCCGTGGACGCTGTATCGGACTGGAGTGATGGCGGCGCAAAGGGTGCGATCGGGGCTTCGTCGCCTATTATACAACTGCAGAGGTTTGTTGTGTTGGCAAGGATGCACAAAAGGGTTTGGATCCACGGTTCACAATGCGCGCTGAATTCAGAAACAAAGTCGCACTAGACATTGCGTCAAGGCTCATCCAGGCCGGTCCGCGTCCCCCGCCACCATCTGCCCTCAGCACCCTAAGCATTCCGCCCAAAATGGCTCTGTGAGGCAGCGTAACGGCCCTATCTGCCCAATGTAACTTTAATCGCCTCAAACATCATCAACTCTCCAAATTCTTGGGGACATTTGGCGGTCCTGTTCGCTGCTCGCTGACTGCGCATAACAATTCCAACGTATACCGAAGCCCAAGACCAAATGCGTCCATTCCAATAGCCAACATACCCACAAAGATGGCAGACCTTTCCAACGCTTTGCCCCGCATAGTTACTACGGTTTGCCGCTGTGCCTTCCGCCGACTTCAGTGCCGCAGCTTGAGCAGTGAGCATGGCTAGTCGAAAGGGTCTTACATGGACCCACAGCAAACGATGACTATCCGCTATTCGAGACATGTTTGAAGCGTAGCGACGCCCGTAAAACTCCTACATGACTAGTTCTCGACTGCTGCTCGTGGTTGGTGCGCTGACTAACCACATGCTGTGGCATGTGAACAGACACAACTCATCCTCCAAAATACGTCTTCTCTACATCCACTCCAACGAGTACTGCAAACGTCCCCAACAGCAACAACCCCATCAACGCCATAACGAGTCCTACCTCCCACCCTCCCGCCATCGCCTTGCCTCTCACAAGCGCTCGCTGTAGTCTCCAAAACCTGATTGCTCCAATCACAACCACCACAATGGCCATGCAGATGAAGGTTGCTGCAAGTGGTTTTCCAACCTTGTAAAAACCAAAATGCGAGTTGGGCGTAGACGAATGTTGCAAGTGGAACAGCTGGGCAGTCACAATGCCCGTCATAACAAGGATGAGAGAGGTACGAAGGTAGCCCAGAAATGTGCGTTCGAGTGCTGAGGCGTAGTCAGCGGTTGGATTGTCTGAGGAAGGAAAGGAATAGAGACGTACCTAGATGATCTCTATGCGCTCCTTCATCGATGCTCAGACTGATATGTGTAGTCCAGAAACTAATGACTGGGTCATACCACCGCTCTGTCCAACCCACTTCCTCTCCATCGCTTCGATCCTCATGCACATCGATCTGTGTACTCACACCATCCATATTGGAAGTACGGCGTCTTAGGTCATCTCTAGACCCATGCGACGAGCTGCGCAGTGATGTGTTGCGTGACCGTAGACTAGCGAAACTGGGCGTCGCATGCGCTTCATTTGCTTCAGCAACCCTCTCGCGATGTATAGGAACTAGTTCCTTTGCAAAGCGCTGTCGTTCGTAGCGCACTGCATCCTCAGAATCGGGGTGTGGCTCGGCACGGGCATGATAATGCAGAGCAGCCGAAGGCAGGTTAAGTGGTGATAGCGCGCGAGATGATGTAGGGTCGCTCATCAGTTGCTTCTGGAGTTGTGTAGAGGTTGTAAAAGTGAGAGCGTGATTTTAGACATGATAACACTTGCTTGGTTCGTAAGTGACGGTATCGGCTGGTCGGTCGGCTGATCGGCGTATTACCCTAGGAAGCTCATCCAAAGCCACATGTTCTACACCAACATCTCGAACACTCAATGATAATAGATATTAATATTAAGTTACACATGCTTCGTCGTGACTACCTCCCTGCCTATCAACAGCTTCCTCATGCAAGCGCCAACCCACCGACAACCACTACAGCAGCAACGTACACCTGCTCCATAACCCCATGTGTCGCTCTTGCCGCAGCACCGCTCGACGAGCTCGAAGGAGCAGCTTCCGTATTAGATGCTGAGCTCGAAGGAGAAGCAGTAGGCGTAGGAGTCCTCGCAGACCCGGTCTCCTCAACATCATCCGGCGCATCAAAGAGCTCATTCCCATCACTCGCCATCGTCCAGCCCAACGCGGTACCGTCACCGCTAACTGCCTTTCCACGTACAAAGCCTTCCAACTCGACATCCTGAAGATTGATTGTCGTTTCAAACCCCGTTCTCCTTGCCACAGTGACGTTGGTCCAGGTACGTGAATCGCTAGCATTGGCTGTGCATACAACCCAACTCTCAACCTCGGTGGCGCCGTTCCAAGAAAAGAACGCCGTGTTGTCGCCTTGGTCCCAGTGCATATCCGGCTTGGTTGATGGCCTACCCTCCCATTGCTGGCGGTACGCTCGGTATGCGTTTACGACGTTGCTCTTGCCGAATTGCACGTCGAGCAAGACATTGCCTTCGTGATCTAGCTCGGTGAAGTAGGGCTGACTACCGAATCCAAGCACAAAGTTTGTCGTTTCGTTGGAGGGATCGATGGCTTGTAAGCTGCCTTCGAACGTACCAAAGGTCTTGCCTAGATTGGTGAACTCGGTGATAAGCTTGACAGTCTTCTCATCCTGGTTGACGTCGAGCAAAAGACCTCGCGAGTAGCCAATCGTCTCGGTGGGTCCGTTGTCGAAGAGTGTCATGCGTGTTTGATCTTCGTCCACCCAACGAGCATCGTGCTGGAACGCGAAGGTGACGGCTGGGTCAACATCGAAGTCCGACTGACGACCTTGGAGACGCCAGATGATGCTTCCATCTTGTCCAGAAATCTTGTAGATGCAGTCCATGACGCGCGCTGAGACTAGGTAGTCGCCGTTTTTGTCCTTTTCAACCGAGTTGATGTGGAAGTAATCCCACGGCGCTTCTTCGGACTGGCCAACGTCAGATGGTAGAGAGTTGTACGACTCGTTGATGCCAACATGCGTACTGGCATTCCACTCAAAGACAATATCCCCAGTCTCGATGTTGATTTCCTGGAACGTGTTCTCGAACAGCCAACCGTTCTCAACACCCCCAGATGCTGTCAGATCCCATGGAATACCATGATAGATCAAGACAATCGCAGTGTCATCGGCGGTGATGAGAAACTCATGGATATCGCCCATTTCGTCTCCGAACCGGCTGACTTGGAAATGTACAATCTCATCATAGCTCTGGTTGAGGATATGGTACGAGCCGCGTCCGTAGCCGTTCAGTAGCTCGCCTGACCAGAGTGTGAGTACAGGCTCGCCCTTGTACGTTTGCGTCTTGAAATCGAAGGGTTCGCTGTAATTCCCGGTCCACACAAGCGAGCCCATGCGGTCGTCCGAGAACTCTGGTTACACAGATTAGCACATGGATGTCGCGTGATACGATAGGGCTGAACCAATGCAGGGTTCATGTCACAACCCTCAACCAGCTTCCTGGGAAATAGAACGACGTACCAAATATTGCTGGCCAATTCTGCCCACTCGTAGGCAGACCGTTGATTCCAAGAAACACATGCCCACTCATCAATGCGGTGCCGTTGCGATTGATTTGCATCTGCGGTGGCTTCACGTCCACATTCGATCTGTAAGTCTGGTACGGCGTGCCGCTTGGGTCTTCAGCTCCATAGCTATCGAAGTCATAACTGACAGAGTCCTGCGCGGTAACGAAAGGCAGTAGTAGAGACGAGAGCTGCAACAGCGCAAGGCTAGCCTGAGTAACGACTGGATGAACTCCGCGCATCGTGATGGCACACACTTAACGATTGACTGGAGCAGAACGAGACGAAAGCGACAGCAGGCAGCGACAGGATATAGCAGTGAAGGATTCAGAGCATAAAGAAAGAAGATAAGCAGGCTGAGAACAAAAGGCACCTGCACAAAAAAGGCGGCCAGCCGTCATGTACCCCAGCCAGGGTGCGGCTGTTGGCTTCCCAGCTCATCTCCTCAATCCGGTCTGTCGATTGCTTACACTTGGCCCGGATAAGCTGAGCAAGCCACGCGCATTGGGCCTAACACGTCTCTCTTAGGCGCAGGTCATGGGGTACGTGATCCTCTTCGATGCAGCTTGTAGCTTCAGGCTGGACAGCTGCAGGGTGTGGGGCCGCGGCATGTTAAGGGCCCAGAGTATTGCATCCTACAAACCATCTATTACACGTATGATTATGCTGCCCATTCACCGGTTCTGGCTTTGCGGCTGGGTACTTGCAGACGCTGTTCGTAGGCTGACGACGGCTTTGTTGTGACGCAGAGTAAACAGCAGGCTGAAGTCAGGCGTGCTAACGGCACGCGTTGATGATACGGACACCTGTGCCGTGTGCGCCACAAAATGAAATGCGGCTGCCGCGTCGAGCGGGGCTTGAAGGATGATTCGTACACCACCGCCACAGTCTTTCACCCTCGCTTATCGCTTGCCAGGTTTTACGGAAAATTACTGATGGTTAGTGCGGCATCATATCTCCACTTACATGAAGCAGGTTCTTGGTGGGTCGGTGGATGCATCGTGATGCCAAGTCAGGATGAATTCGTCGGCTTATGTTACCGTCTTGACCTCTTGGGCTGCTGTGCAAGCCGACTCTACTTACTCATAAACTTTGATGCCATGTTTAAGACACTCCCCAAACCGCCTCCAGAGCCGCCGCTGCTACCACCACTGCCTCCGCCCATCTGCGACTTCAAGTAGAACTTGAGAGCCATCTGTGCAGCCTGCGCAATGGCATCCTGCTTAGTAGCACTCGGGTCCTACGCGTGTCAGTAACGATAACAGGTGTGTTGAGCCTGTGACTTACGGTCTTGCCCTCGCTCTGTTGCTTGTCGAAAAGCTGGGCCGCCTGTCCCATGGCCATGCCGATGAACTTGTTCTGTCCGCCCTTGGCATCCTCGTTGCTGCTGTTGTTGAACATCTTCATGGCTTGCATAGCAGCAGCAGCTCCGACGTTGTTTGAGCTGGCTTGCTCGTTACCGCCGTGGCCACCGCCACCGTAGAACTTCTCGTGCTGCTTGACAGCGTCGTCCTCGTCAACATCCTCATCCTTGAGCTTGTCCTTCTTGCCGGACAGCATGCCAAGGACATTGCTGAAGAGGTCGTTGTCGCCGCTGTTTCCAGACTCGCTCGATGCGTGCTGGGCTGCACCAGAAAAATCATCTGAGCTGCCGCCGTAGCCGCCGCCACCGCCGTAGGATGTGCCAGAAGATTGTTGGCCTTCATGGTGACCGGATCCGCCGTAGCCTCCCGACTTACCTCTTCCGTAGCTGCCACCTGATGGGCGGTCATTGTAGCTGTCACCTCCGGATGGGCGGTCGTTGTAGCTGCTGCCTCCAGACGGACGATCATTGTAGTTGTCGCCGCCTCCTGAGTAGCCACCGCTTGGACGTGACTCCTGGCGGCTTTCGTGTCCATATGCTCCGCCACCCGAGTAACCTCCACTGGGGCGGTCACCGCCATATCCTCCTCCACCCTCTTGTCGTCGTCCACCGTGGTCTTCGCGTCTGTCATCACCTAGCGCAGGGCCACCGTAGCCGCCTTCCTGTGGTCTTCCATGATCTTCTCTGCGCTCATCGCCCCCACCGTAACCGCCTGAGGAGCCATAGCCACCTCCACCCCCACCCCTCCTCTCTTCGTCGCCAAGAGCAGGTCCTCCAAAGCCTCCCTCCTGGGGACGGCCGTATTCTTCGCGGCGGTCACCGCCACCGCCGTATCCGCCCTGTTCGTTTCCGCGGCGGTCGTCTCCCCGGCCACCGTAGCCAGACTCCTGGCCGTACTCGCGGCGGTCGTCGTTGTAGGACATTTTGTAGAGTCGAGAGTCTATATACGTATTAGCAAACTATGCACCAAGCTGCACTACTCTGGAAGTGTCGATGTAACTATGAAGCGTAGCGTCGATGCTTGCCAGTCTGACGAACGTCCAGAACGCTTCATCAGAAGCTTGCTCCGATGCTTAGGAGCAGCCAAGCTTCGTTAGACCGAGGCGAACATCCAAGCTCGCAGCTGATCAATGCCTATGAGGGTGGAAAACTTACAATGTGTAGTGAGTAGAAGAGTGAATAGGTTGAGTGTTGACAAATTGTGTATGCGTAGATGTGTGTTTAAGGGGATGTAGGCTTCAAGTGACAGACTGGCAGCTATAGCTCTGGGCCCCTCCCAGCATGAGATTGCCCCGCTAGTGACGTACACCACGCGGCAAGCTTCCCTGTCATGATTCGCGCTAGTGTTACAGTAACATCTGCACTGTCTGGGCTCGCATGTTATGTCACGTCGCGCGATTCAACGATTGGCGGTCAGAGTCAATAGGATACAATTGGTTTGCACTTCTACAAACATACTATAGTAGCCTCGGCGCAAAAACTGCACTACGGGAGCCAAGCGACGATTTGCAGCTATGAGCGGCCATACCGAATCTACCGACCGTCACGGTATTACATCGACCTTTAGTAGTCATCGCTTCTCTTGTTTGAGCTACCATATCCCGAGCTCTCACGGTCGTTGGAGCCGTAGCTGTCCTCGTTCTTGCGTCCAGAGCTTCCGTACGAGTCATTCTCGTCACGGCCCGAAGAGCCTCCATACCCAGAAGAAGTGTTGCCGGAGCCATAGGAAGTTTCTTCAGAAGCTCCAAAGCCACCGGAGGACTTGTTGCTGGAGCCGTAGCTGTCGCTGTCCGTCTTGCGGTTGGACGAGCCGTACGAGTCATCATCGTCCTTGCGGTTCGATGAGCCGTAGCTCGACTGGTTCTTGCTCCCATATGAGTCGTTGTCATCGGTACGGTCCGAAGAACCGTAGCTGGACTGTTTGTTGCTGCCGTATGAGGAATCGTTGTTGTCGTTGTCGTTGCGGTCCGAAGAACCGTAGCTGGACTTCTTGTTGCTGCCGTACGAGTCTTCATCGTTGTCGTTACGGTTCGATGAGCCATAGCTCGATGATTTGTTCTCGGAACCGTAAGTGTCGTCACTGTCCTTACGGTCGGAGGAGCCATAGCTAGACTGCTTGTTGCTACCATAGGAGTCCTCGTCGTTGTCGTTGCGGTTCGAGGAGCCGTATCCGGAGGACTTGTTGCCAGACCCATAAGAGTCGTCATTGCGGTCCGAAGAGCCGTAGCTGGACTTCTTCTCGGACCCGTAGGTATCGTCGTCATCGTTCTTACGGTTGGAGGAACCGTATGAAGTACTTTCGTTGTCATTCGACCCATAGCTAGACTTCTTGTTGTCGTAGGACGAGTCCTGGTCGTTTCCATAACCGGAAGACTTGGAGCCGTACTCGTTGTCCTCACGGTTGCTGCTACCGTAGCCTGAGGTACGATCCTCGCGGTCGTTATCGTTGTAAGACATGTTGATAGAGATGTGTTTGAGTGAAAGACTGAAGGATTGGAATACTTGGTAGAGAAGTTACTTGCTGTTTGCTGAATCTGACTATCGTGGCAGGCCTCTCCATCTTTATATGCGTCCTCTCGAGGGCAGCGTACCCCTCTATCACCCCGCAATGCCGAAAGCAGGTTTGGTGTTGTTCGTCCCGCCTATGCTGTATTACTATCGCTGTGACCCCTGTGAAGCTGAGCCGTACATTCGGACCGCTCTAGATCTCGGCAAAGTCCGGATGTGCCTTGGTTCAGCGGCAGCTCATCACCAAAACTGTCATGGTGAGTGATTGAGTCTTCATCGTGGCACCGCAAAGCCACCGCAAAGAAATGGTCCAGGAAGGATGAGAGAGTTTGATGTGGCCTGTTACAGCATAGAACGACCTCACCAACTCCCGTAGTATTACCGTGGATACACCGAAGCTGAAATTGCGGGATTAATGCGGTGGCTGATCGTGGTTACACTTTCTTCGGACACGTCTGGAGAGTTGGAGGGGTAGCTATCGAGTGGGCGTGGGCGAATAGAGCAAGTGCGATCGGACACGGGATGACCGAGGGGTGGGACATCGAGCACGCAAGCGACATGGGTTGCGAACTGGACCCCTACACAGCACAGCCACCTCAGCCACGCTACAAGCCACGGTCTAACCAAGAATCAGTCAATATACCCGCTGGAGAAATACATTACGTCGACCAATTCGCCGCGACAGCGATTTCGTGATACGGTTTACTGTCATGTTTCTTCGTTTGTGCGACGAACGCGTCCGTTCGGACTTGCAAGCGTACGTGGCCACAGCGAAGGCTCTTGCTTCACCCCAACGGTCGATACGTCCGCCGATGTAACTCACCACTCACATGTTCATTTTGCTCTTTGAATGAGATAATGGCACCCAGCATGATAGGACCGTGATGGTTGTGAAGATACCAAAGACAACGAACAGGTTCTACAGTGATATAGCGTTGAAGCAAACTACAGGATGACCTCGTGCTTTGGCCTGTCAATCCCCTTCACAACGGCCTTCCCAGTCTTCGAGTGGATGTTTAGGGAGGGTAATCCCAGAGTCAGCTACAGCATGCTCCATTTTCTCTAACATAGATTCTCTCTTGAGCGCTTTAGCGAAAGACAGTACTGTCAAGCCTTCGTTCGTAACGACCGACAAATCAACATGCCACTCCAATAAGAGATCAAGTACGTTTTCGTGATCGTGCTCGATTGCCTCAAAGATCGGCGTCCAATTACTCCAAGTCCGCGCGTTGATGTCGCATCCGCATTCTTTGAGTTGATTCACTATGTCTAGGTCTCCGCCACGACAGGCTCGATAGAATGGGGTAGCACCTGATGCCGAAGGCTTGTGCGGATCAGCACCATGATTTAGTAGATCATCCACTACCCCTTGCGCACACCATTCGGCCGCGAAATGCAATGGAGTCAACGCTTTGAAATGTCCCAATTCGCGAGTTGGCTCGTCTACCTTTGCGCCATGTTCTAACAGATATGTGACCAGATACTGGTCGTATTCCTTTGCGGCAACTGTAAGGCAGGTGAGGCCATTCTCGAAATGGTAGTCCATGTTTGGTAGCCGTTGGCACAGCTCCCTTGCGGTAACGTACAACCCGGCCCAGATGCACATACATGTTGGCGAATAGTCGAGGAATTCGGCATTGGGCAAGATCTTCGCAACTAGGCTCTGCCATCTCTTGTAGCAAGGTGGTCCCTCCTCAGCGTCCAGGAACCTACCAAGAGCAGGACGGGACAGATCATATAGATGTAAGCGACATACTGAAGCGCTTGCATGATTGAACCAGTTGAGTGCAGCGTACGTGCGAAATGCATAATCTCGATCAAGATCCAGATCTAGGCCGTACTCTAGTGGCGCATTGAAGGTATCCATGGTGAGGTGTTGAAGGCATATATCGGCCATCCATGCTTCTGCCTCGCTATCAGACACATAGAATAGACTAGCCGGACTTTCTTGGATAGTAGTAGAGGTAAGATATTGCTCCAAGGTAAAATGGCATAGTCTTATCACACTGCGCTGATCTTCGGAGCTTTCTATTCGTATGAGTGTGGAGATAGGTTCCAAAGCGTCGTAAGGATCTGTGACCACGGCGTCATGATCCAAGTCGCGCTCACCGGGTTGCATGGCCAAGATCTCCGCTAGCTCGGGAGCGGTCAATGGTGTCGCAGCAGCAATAAGACAACGGAACAAATTTTGTACTTCTTCAATCCTTGTTGGGTACCGCGTCGCGATGTCGCACAAAAGTGCTTGGTACGTGTGTCCGAGTCCATTCGGCAAATTTTGCACGATGATCTTGATCTCTTTATCTGACTTCGCCGTACAAATGTAGTCAATGTTCAAACGTGCCTGTAGCATCCTACATTGTATTAGTAGTACATTATGACGCGTAGATGAGTAGCCATGGAGCTAGGTGAAGGACCAGACGATGCAAGACGTAGGAGACTTACGTGCCCGCACAGAGGACGATCTGTTGTCGCATTGAGGACAAGATGTCTTTGTTCTTGACTTTGAGCACACCTTTTGCGACGCGCGCTTGGAGTTCTTCCGCAACGTAATGTTGGATGTCGGGACGCATGTTCTCTGCAAGAATGACATGTGTCGTGGCAAGGTTGGGATATCGTCCCTGAATCAGAGCATCGAATCGGCTCGTCAAAAGAATCCTGATATTGAACCCTGCGCCCTTTCGGGACTCGTGCATTCTCGCAAGACTTCGGGCTATGCTATCACCCTCAGTAGACTCATCGAGCGCGTCCAGGAGGATGAAAACATCCTTTAGATGTCCCAAAAATGAGCAGATCAGTGACAAGTAATCGTCGCTTTGGAAGGGGCGACTACCTTCCCTAGACTTCTCGTTGTACAGTGATCTGCCTTCTTCGAGACATAAAGGTGAAGCTTCCATCATTTGCCTCGCAACACTCGAAGCGAAGTTTTCGTACGTCGTTTTCGCGCGATCACGATGATCGCAGAAGAAGTACACAATTGTAGTGGTATCCGTGCACAGCTGTTGGACATGCCGAATTATAGAAGCGCAGAGAAGCGTTTTACCTGCTCCAGGAAGACCAGTCATCCACATGGTGCCGTCATCTGAGTCTTTCCAATCTTGAAAGTCTTTGGATTGCAAGAGCCATTCTCCGGTCCCAGGAATATGGCGACTTAAAGCGCTTGCAAGACTGGCATGCGCACCATCGGATGGCGTTGGACAGACCCATGTTGTTACCATCTGTACTTCCTCACGATTCATCTGCGCACGGAGCTGCTCAGACATATTCTCCATCTCATTTGATATGAGGCCTTGTCCTAGTTCGATGCGCCGTATCGCGGATCTGTGGACCGTTTAGGCCAAATACTCATTATGAAGCATGCATACTCACGCAGAGTTGGCCTCGATAGCATTCGCAAGTAATCCGCGCGTGCGATGAAGCCTCTGCAGGGCGTCTTTAGTTTCTTTCTCTTTGAACGGCCACATCAATTTCCTGCCGAAATTCTTCGCATCTTGACCATTGACCTGCTCGCATTTTGCCAGCGCCCGCTCGATCGACTTGAGCGTGGACTGACATTCTTGAAAGACACCAACCCGTTCAAGAGCCTGTAGCGCATCGTCTGCAGCTGCCTTGGGCGATGTATCTGCGATTTGCTGTAATTGCGCGAGAAGGCTATTGACGGCCGCAGTTTCCGTCAGGAGACTCCGGATCTCGCTGGGCGCTCGCGCGACCTTCGATAGGAAGTCGTAGCCGCCAGCGAGTAGGGCACCACTCAGTTGGACAAGCTGAGCGACAGATGCAACTGTACCAACGATCTCAGCCATGGCAAGTGGTCAGCAATGAATGCATATGATCGATGTCCGTAGGTGCGCGCAGTGTAGGAGTCTAGGATGGTAGGCGCGTCAGAGCTGAAGTTCAGCGCGAAGGCGGGGAGGACCCCAGCCACTTCCCTGCCGGTCAACCTTCAACAATCAGCACTTCCATGGTTGCATCTGAAGAGCAGTGTTGCATTTGTAGTCGCTGCTTCACATGAGATCAAAACAATAATGCATTACGTTCGTTCTGCAAATCCACACATATCATCAGACATCCCTCCGCGACCCTTCAACAGGCCGCACCTCCTCCTCTGCCTCATTTCTCCTATCATACGCCTCCGCCAACCCCTTCAACTCCCCCAAATCCTCAATGAGTATAGTAACATTCTGTTTTGCCATCAGCAGAAGAGCATCGAGTTCCTTCTTCTTAAGAGAGCCCTGCGTTACTTTTCCAGTCGGCAGAGGCGGGGCGACATAGCCTTCTGGCTTACAGAAGTCTAAAAGCCCGTCGTCTTGAACACTGGGAGTCGGAGTGCGCGAGAAGATACATGCTAAAGGACTGCGGTATGTCTCACGCCTTTTCTGAATGTCGAGGAGTGTGCGCCAAACCTCCCATTCGCGCTCCCAACATCCAGTCAGGACTTTGGTGCTGAAATCCGCTATGCGCTTTAGCTCCGTGATCTCATCTTGTAAACTACTGTTTTCTCGATCGAGCTCTCTGATGTGGAGATGATTCTCTTCGAGCTGCGTGCTAAGCTGCGGAATGAGATCTTCTTCTAGGCCCCAGACGCGATCTTGCAGACCATAGACAGCAGCATGTAACCTTTGGACAAGACGCACTACTATTGGAATATCTGACGCAGCATTACTGGGCGGCACAAGTGCAGGGAATGGCGGCAGATGCGGAGGTGCCGAGTCCTGGACGACGTCGTAGTGGAGGGCGAGCTCGGATGGTGTTAGTAGGGAACAGAGGAGGTTGAAGACATGCTCTGGCACGTTGTCGGGAAGCGCAGGTGGGTAGTGGAGAGCAGCATTACCGGAGTCCCCACTAGAGCTTGATGGCGGATAGTAACCTGGATGCACACCATTCGTTAGTTGAGCTGGGCTCTCGTCACTGCCTCCTCGTAATGGCCAGTTATTGGGCGTGGGGGATCGAAAGAGTGTGCGGCTTGAACTTGAATCGCTGTGATGTCCAGAACTAACACCATTTGTTAGCGGCTGCTCCTGTTGCTGCTCTTCGATCGGCCTCATATTTTCAGGTGACTGCAATGGAAGCGTCTGTTCGGTCCGAAGGCGATCATGAAATGCACTTCCAGCAATTGGGTAGCTGAAATTTGGAACAAGACCGGCGTCTGTCACCGTGATAGGCTGAGTATCTTCATGCCCAGAATCAACAGTGGTAGAGTTTTGACGCACTCTTTCTTGTATTCTTGCTCTCGTGGCCGGATCAACAACATCATTGCGAATGATTCTGTTAAGCGCTGTAAGCCATGTCAGTAATTCAGTCCGCTCGGTCCGGTCCGAGAATCCGTTTGGCAGTTCTGTAGAGGGTTCCGCTTGAACTTGCAAATGTACAGTACTTGCTGAAGCTGATGGGGGAGATGGATCCGTCTGCAATGCCGAATCAACAGTAGTCTGAGGCGGAGCTGTTGGGTGCGGTCGTGCTGTAGGGGTGGTCGTTGTCGGCAGGCTGTGTGACGCGTTCGACTCATTCACAGTAGCCTGTACACCAGGATCGCCGGACTGATGATTACTTGAAGGGAAGTCCATGAAGCCATCCCACTCAATTGTGCCTGGCGTGATCGGCACCCTCGGGGGAGTTGGTTGTCTTGGGGGAGAAAGTCGCCGCTCTGGAACATGTGCTCGACGAACAGTAGGAGTTCTGCCGTTTCGCTCCTCCCATCGCCTAAGATTCTCCGTATTTTGTGCGGAAGTCAGATACTCACTCGGTACAGGCCTTGGATGCTGTGTTTGCCCAGCTGCAGCAGACTTGTTGTTCTTCTCTTCCCACCTCCTCAGATTTTCTCTGTTCTGTGAGGCCGTCAAGTACTCACTCGGTACTGGTCTTGGAGGGAGCTTCTGCTCTGCTTGTGTTTTTGGACGCCGGATTGGAGTCCTGTGCACCTCCTGCCGGAGCTCTCCACCTGGTGGACCAGCGTATATTGGTTCAACGTCCGAAGCTAGCATGATGCTGTTGAAGAAGAGCTGCTCTCGTGGGTATATATGGCCTCGGTACGGACCCCTATCGATGATCACCGGAAGTTCGTCAGGCGAGTCACCACTTCTGGGCCCAATACGTCCGTCATCGAGGTCATTCTCGATTTTGTCGAGAGCCCTTTGCCTCTCCTTCTCGCGTTGTGTTTCTAGCTGCCTCGGTGTAGGGGACGGCTCATGGATCGTGTAATAATGAGTAGGGCGTCGGAATGGGTGTTTGAGTCGCTGAAAGGATGGCATCGTCGTGGTTTTAGACTGGGAGTTAGGTGGCGGAGATACTGGACAGGAGATCAGAACTTGAGTGTTCATGGTGAGGATACATGCTGGGCTGTTTGGCAGTTCCATGTGCTCGGTTGTGACAAAGGGGCGTTTGTGAACGCGCTGGATGAACATTCGCTTCAATGCAATCGCAGAGCGGTGCGTGGCCATGGTGATAACTGGACACGTCGATCCTCGGCAAAGGTGATATCGATGGTTTGGAAGGGACAACACAGACAGAGCACAGTCCATGCGGTAAGGTTAGAACGGAGTAGAGGGGTACCGTGATATGTTGAAGCCTGAAGGTATTATTGCCGACGGCGTTATAAATATACACTACTTGCATTGTAATCTCTTGCAGCGAGATGCTTACTGTGAAGCCATGATCGTTCTTCCGGGTATGCAACAACCGTAAATGCGCCATGAAAAAAGAAGAAACCGCTCCGTGGCTATGCAACCGCGAGAATGCAGATGAAACGCCCCCATGCCGTGTGATCGTAAACCGTAACGCCGAAGAACCTCAAAACCTCTTCTTCGCCTTGGCAGCCATAGCCGCCAACTTCTTCTTACGTTCTTCTTTCTCACGCTTCAACCGATTTTCCTCCGCTAGTGCCTCCGCGTCTTCCTTCTTAGCAACCTTGAGTGCTATCTGTTCTTCTTCTTCTACGTCCCAGATACCGCCCTCCATATCAGAAGAAGCGTCAGAGGCATAGTCTTCTTCTTCGTCCTCCATCTCACTAAGCTCGTCCCAGTCTGCGTAACCGTCATATCTTCCTTTGCCTGGGTTCGGTTTGGCCTTGACGGCTGGTGTGCCGTTTCGACTAGACGTTGCAGGTGCGCTTGTTGGACGGGCGGTTCCCTTGTAGCCAACCTCAACAGGCTTCTTGGCAGGTCGTGCTGTGCCTTGATAACCAACTTCGACAGCCTTCTTCTTGTCTTTCGATGGATCAGCTTTCGGGTCTGTTGTTCTTGAGGGTAATCCAGCGACAGGCTTCTTGCCCTTTGCGCCGGCACTTGCTTCTGCTTTCAGTGCCAAGCGTTCTTTTCGTGTAAGGATCTTTGTTGGTTCATGCTTGATTGGTGGGGCGATAGGCTTCGTTGAGTCCTTCTCTTTCGCCTTCTGAAGCATAGCGAGATATCCTTTCTTGGGTGCGGCAGACGAGGCGGGTGTTGAGGTGGTGGCGGCGGGCGCAGGCTTGGGTGCAGGAGCTGCAGCCTTCGGTTTGGCAGCGGGTGCGTTTGATGACTGTAGGGGTTTTCGCACGGGGGGATTCGCCGGCTTTGAAGATGCTGGTGCAGCAGTGCCACGATACGGGACGGCGGTGGTAGAGGCGGACGGAGTCGGTTTCGACGTGGCAGGCGATGAGGTGGCGCGCACGGCACCATTTGCCTGCGCTGATCCCCCGACAGCCTCCTTCCTCTGTATCTTGACCTGTGTACTCTCGACTGGACCCGAGGCCTTGCGCTTCAGCTGGGGGGTTTGCGAGGCGCTATTCGCCCCTCCGATCGGTCGCGGCGCTGGCCTAGGGGCTCCGGCGGGCGGGCCTTGCTTCGAAACCGTCGCCTGCGTCTTCGCGCCCGTACGGTCGATTATAGACATGATGTCTTTGAGAGACTAGATGATGCAGTCAGCATACGACTGCTGGCGGGGATGAGTCGCGAGACTCACACTCATGATGGGCAACTGATAAGCGTTTGACTCAGGCTACCGGTCGTCAAATCGATTGGAGGACAAGTTGTACATGCTTTCCAGGTGAGATTCGCCGGTGTCGATAGTCGGCGATGACTGATCACGCGCGCGGAGAGGAGGATAGGCGCACGGGACCGGTCGTGGATTGAAGAGGGGAGCGGCCAGAGAATGAGCGGTCGGCGGCGGCGCAGACAAGTCGCTTTTATACATGGCTTTGCGCCTAGCCCGACGACACGTGACAAGGCGGGCGTCTTGCGCTAGTCGCATTGCGGCATAGCCCAGGTAGCGAGATCCCACCCGAAGTCAATATTCGCGGACCTCGAACTTTTCTTTTCTACGACAACCTACAGAAGAACTTGTAGCTTCAGTCTCCGGCCCCGACGGTACGCACCACTTTGGAATCGCATCTAGCAGCGCAATACTGACAAGCGCAGGTTAAATCGATTGAACTCCTGTTCCAGACAAACCACCCCAACAATCACAATGAAGCACCTCGCGGCATACCTCCTTCTCGGTCTCGGTGGAAACACCTCCCCCTCCGCCGCTGATGTCAAGGTAAGAGGGAATCGTCCTGTACAACTCGCTATACCACGTTCTAACAACGCAATAGGCCGTCCTTGAGTCCGTCGGTATCGAGGCTGACTCCGACCGTCTCGACAAGCTGATCTCCGAGCTTGAGGGCAAGGACATCAACGAGCTCATCGCCTCCGGTTCCGAGAAGCTTGCTTCCGTTCCCTCTGGCGGTGCCGGTGGCGCTGCCGCTTCCGGTGGCGCTGCTGCCGGTGGCGGTGCCGCTGAGGCTGAGGCCGCTCCCGAGGCCGCCAAGGAGGAGGAGAAGGAGGAGTCT